AGTCCAGACTGAAACACGGACACAAATTTGGACACATCCATCCATCCTGGTGGACAACTGCACRTCTTTATAGCAGCCACAATCTCATTTTTATTTTTAAAATCACAGAAAAGCACGTCTGCAGCATCAAATGCTTCTTTCATGACTTCGTCATCGCTGAAAGCCGTGTGTTGAGGCAGGTACGGGGCTGCATTAGCATAGAAGCCTTACCTTAGGAGGGAAAATCTGCCTCGTAGCATCTGTTTATTCTTTTGAAAGAAATGCTGTTCCACGTTATCCTTTTTGGACAAGCCAAGGCAGCGCTCGAATTACATATGAGTCCTCTTCCCACTCCAGGTGAAAATAATAAGATTTTATTTACTTGTTAGCTGTCTTTCATTCATCTTTTTTTCTGCCTCGCTGCCATGTTTTAATACATGACCCTAATCTCGCAAGACTATGTTCGGAGTGCTGTTTCACAGCACCCAAAACTAGTGAGACTGGAGCGCGTTCAAGAATGCAATGTTAAACAAACGTTGCAAAGAGAGCATTTAAGGCTGCAATGTTAAACAATGTTGCGTTCTACAAGCTCCGTGATCCATTGCTCCGTGAGCTACTGCTAACCAGCTAAAGATCTACCAGTAGATCCCGATCTACTGGTTGGCCTGGCCTGCTCTAAGCACTAACTGATTGTGCTAGATCTGCAAATATTTGCCATTTACTACTGAAGTCAATTCTGCAAGTCTGTTAGCAAAATATCTTATAAACCATGGGTGTCAAACTCATTTTTACCGAGGGCCACATGAGTATTATGGTGGCCCTGGAAGGGCCAGTTGTAATGAACTTTCACGTTTCATGTTTAACTTTGACTAAACAGTGTTTTAACATGTCCTCTTTTAAACACTGATAAGAACTAAGAGTACGACTGAAATAAATACAGAAATATTAGTAAAAGTAAAACTAATAAAGTTTTACTCACTGATGAGTTTCTAGTGAGTGGCATTATGGCAGCATTAGTTTACGGTTGATGCTGACTTTAAATCAGCTTATTTTCACACATCAATACTGTGCTATCCAACTAAAATGCTCAGTTACTTAAAGCCAACAG